TCTTTCCTGGACTTGAGAATAAGAACACAGTTAACAGGGTATGATTTATTGCGTTCATGACACTTCATATACGCATTTTGCGCTGTCCGGTCAGCTCGCTAAACAGAGGGCGGAGCATCAGGTGATCATGCAGAGCTGCGTGTCTCAGTCAGACTCAGCAGCTGGTCTGATCGCTCTCTCTCGCGTCCGGTTATACTTCACTCGCGTTTATGTCCGTATCGATCAGATCCAGCTCTCCTGATCTACCTTTATAGAGAGCACCGATCAAACTATTAAGAGTGAATATCGGCCGATAATGACCGGCGGGGCTCCCCCCCGTTAACAGGTCACTGTCTAGCACTGGCTTCGTAGTGCACTGATCGATTAGGCTAAGCTAACCTGTAGCTGCTCCCTCCACACTCACAACAACTTCATACAGACATAAATAAAGCAGCTGTATTCGCCACACAGGAAACACACATTTAAAACGGTTTTGCCTGCCGTTTTTGTGTACACAAGCATTCATCAATGGTTCGGAAAGTGGCGCTGTACCTTAATAATATAAAAGATTGTATTTGCGTGCATTTGCTGTTCAGAAAGTGTCAATGTACTGAGAGTGGAGGTGTCCTGAGATTAGCGCCTGCAGGCAGGCTACATGGACCTGTCAGCTCCGGACAGCGCAAAATGCGTACATGAAGCGCTACGTCATGAACGCAATAAATCTACCCTCGTGGGGGTGCGCTCATGTGATTGGCTTAGAATTTAGGAGACTACTGATTGGCTATAGATAGAAAAAATTACAAGTACGAATCGGCTGACCGTCAGGGGAGTCTCAAAAAACCCACACACGAATGCACAGCGATCCGTGCACAGAAAGCGGTTTGTGTTTGCCGGTGCAGGGGATTTAAACGGAAAACAAATATGTGAGGATCAAAAACACAAAACTTTTTTCTGTATTTTGATTGTATTTACATATATGAAACGGAATACATTTGTGTGTGCATTGAAAAACACAAGTGTGGATCCGGAAATACAAGTGTGAATCCTTCTGTGTGCATGTGTGTATTATGAGACTGTTCTGAGCTGGACTGAGGCCTGTGGTGGGAGAAGTATTTAGGGTTTTTACTTCAGAAAGTAGCAACACTACAGTGTAAAAACACTCTGTTACTAGTAAAAGTCATGTACCAAAAGAACATCTTCCTAAAGTAATTAGCTCAAATGTTGTCAGTATTCTGGTATCAGAGATGACTTTGACTATGTCTGTCTGACCCTATGGTCTGACCCAGTAAGTCACAGATGTAAGATATGTGATGTACCAATTGTATAAATATGTGATTGATCTACAAAACAAAAGTGATTGATCTTGCCCGGAAGAGTTTCATTTTGACTAATACTCCTTCAACCATGATCCACAGCACCAATACATGTTAGGAACGGGAGCTGCTTATAACATTGTTGTTCTGTATATAAAGTGCCAGGATAAAAACTGGAAGTGTTTCTTTTCTTTCCATGCAATCTGATACTGTACGAAGTTTCAGGTGTATGGTTAAGGGGCAGGCAGGGACACACAAAGACGTGTTCCCACAGTGAGGACATACAAACAAAGTATATTTATGACTGTGAGATTTTGTGCCATCTGTTGGTATTGCTCCAGGTTCTTGGTCGATGTATAATATTAAGAGTACACAATCCCCTCTGAAACGGTTATATTCTGCTTTATGTTTTGTGCTGAAAATCGAAAAGTTCCAAAGATTTCCCCTGGTCTGATTTGTGTCAATTTAGGGGTCTTTGACATGAAACAGTTTGAACCACTGCTGCAATTAAAACTGTTTGTGTCTCTTGTTTCTTTTCCCTACCCTTTTTGTTCACAATGACACCCTGTGCACCCTGGCCTGCAGCAGTTTCACATATCAGACACAACAGAAAGAAAATCTCTTTGTACGTTTGTCTTTCTTTAAACTGCCTGCCCCTGAAACATAATGAAACTATTCTGTTCAAGATTAACCAGATTTATTATAGTTCTATTACAGTTTTTTATGAAGCTGTCACTATTTGTAGTCCTCTGTAGTTTACACACACACACACACACACACACACACACACACACACACACACACACACACACACACACACACACACACACACACACACACACACACACACACACACACACACACACACACACACACACACACACACACACACACACACACACACACACACACACACACACACACACACACACACACACACACACACACACACAACTTTATTTCATAAGAACATTACAGGGTGTTTTGATTCTGCAGTGATTAAGTGAAGAGAACATGTCAGGAAAGTAGAGAAACACTTCTTCAGTCAGCGTCCATGTCATTTCTAGATTTTGTGGATTTTTGTCTGAACTCCTCCAGGGCTTGTCACGTTGCTGACAGTCAAACAAATATGTCCTGGTTTGCGCATTTCAAATTCAAACCACGTGAACATTCATACCATTAGTCTGTGTTCAGGTGTGGATTAGGGATTTATTTACCTTGTTTATTCATCCATTCATTTCTATCATCCAGCCAAGACAGCTAGTCTTTAAAAAAATCTGTCTTAAAAAGCTAATCAAATGCTGCATGAAAAAAACACAAATATAGAGATTTTATTAAATGCTTTAATCTTAATAATATTTATTTAGAAGGTGGTGCAGTGATCTTGCTGAATAAACACAAATCTCTTCATTTCAAAGTATCAATACATAAAATCTATGTGAAATCATTTATGTTTTAATTTGAGACTGCTGCCTGTTGAAACAGGTTGTATTTGGTTTTCTGCATCGCATTGAGCAATTGTATTGGGTCTTCCGTCTCATCCAATAATCCTTGTAATGTCGCATTTCCACTACACGGCCTCGCTCAGTATTGGCTAGGCCTCGTTAGGCCTGGTTCACTTTATGGCGCATTTCCATTACAGTTTAGGAACTGGGGCAGTATCTATAGTAACGCAGTGTAGGCGTGAATGGAAACGAGTAATAAAGTATATTCATTACTCGTTATTCTCTATTAATAGTTAATTAAAGACTGTATATTATGGCTATTTTGCACATCCCTTTCAAGATTTCTAGATTTTCAAAGGTTTATTGACATATCATACACAACTACGGTGTATGCAATGAATGAAAATCTTGGGTCACAGGTTCCTCAACAGTGCATTACAAGACATCTATCAATATGTGTGTTTACCTCCACCATTAAACTGTCATATTCTGCACATTTCTTATACTATCTACATACATAAGAGTATAATTCATATGTATAATATCAGTTAAAATAAGTGCTTCAACATACACTGAACAAAAATATAAATGCAACACTTTTGTTTTTGCTCCCATTTTTCATGAGATGGCTGGCCACGCTTACGTCGAGGAGGGGGCAGAGGCAGATCAACTCCTGAACAACAACAAAAAGCCCGCGTTTTATCCAGTTTGTACACAACGATGGAGAAACTTAACAAGCAGCAGTGGTCCACTGAAGAGACCAGCTACCTACTGGGAATCTGGTCTTCCTAAGAGGTACAGAGGAAGCTGGAGCACAATCGGCCATTGTTGTTGTTGTCGGTGTGAGCTGTGAGGGGTTTCCGCACGGTTTGGCTTTATGAAGCAGGCACGCAAACGGTTACGTCATGACGCAAACGATGACGCAATGACGCAGCACCAGTCGGACTCTGGGCGGTGTGAAAAGAGCCGGAGCTAAACCGAAGAACCGGTTCTGAACCTAAAAAGCTCTAGCACGGAGCTTGAACCGGAGTTGCGTTGGTGTGAATGAGGTATAAGAGGCTGCTCCGCTGCGGTGTGAACAGGAAAACCCCGTGCTTTTCAAGCTCCAGCTCCGAACCGGCCCTAAAACACTGTTGGTGTGAATGAGGTAATATGTCTTTTTAATGTCTGTATATTTTTTACTGTTGAGTTCTGCACCTTTTCGTGGGCAAAATAACAATAACTGAGCACATATTCGCAACATTTACAGTATAAAAACTAACTAAAACTGTTTTGGTTGTGCCAATTTTCTTTGTTATTTAAGTTTTTCATGACCACACAATAACTAGTTCCTAGTTCCAGCATCTATCAATCCATGAGAACCACATTTCAAAGATAAAGATCATTCCAATAGTTTACTGGTGATATATATATTTTTTAGAAACAATGTCACTGTGTAAAAAAACACGGCCATAGTTTCTTTTTATGCAATCATAACAGTTTGAATTTATCAAAGACCCTGCCACGTCCACATTAGCACTACTTTCTGTGAAATCTGAGGAAATTAACATTTCCTTTTACAGTGAAAAGTGCTGGATAATTAAATAAATACAAAAAGTGAATTCATTTTGACAGTGGCAGTGCAGCTCATTAATACTGTGGACAGAAAGGACTTCTGCACCTCTGCTGCCTTGCATTACATTTCCATCTGTTTGCACTACGCTCTGCATCAGCCAAACGACTCGTTGCGCCCTCGCTGCGAGGGGGACCCAAGTTCCCATCGGCGAAAACACGTGGGTTTGCTATCCTGGCTCCAAGATGGTGGAATGAGCTCCCCATTGACATCAGGACGGCAGATAGCTTGCACATCTTCCGGCGCAAACTGAAAACTCATCTCTTTCGACTCCACTTCGAGCGTTAGAACGATTAACGAAGCACTTTTATACCAATAAAGGACTGGATTACCTAAAGCCAGTTGAGTAGCACTTGAAATGTTTGGCTCTATGAAACCTGATATACTTATATGATTCTGTTTTCTTCAAGGTTGTGTCTTCCTGGTCGAATGTACTTATTGTAAGTCGCTTTGGACAAAAGCGTCAGCTAAATGCAATGTAATGTAATGTAATGTTTCTATCAAGCCCCCCAGCTTTAAAGGAGTGAAGCACAACACTGCTGCAGTGCTCCTTTAAAATGTGCTATAGCCTTCATCTTTGAAGAGTTCAAGAAAACATGAGGAATGATCCCACGAGTGTCCTTGTCTGATCAGTAACTGAGAGAGTCCGAGTTGATGCTGATACTTTACTGAATAAAAACACTTAAGAAAGAGATTTAAATGAAGTATTTTGTTTCTCATTTATGAAACAAGTAATAGCAGTAGTAATAGTAATGAATTCCACAGTGTTGTAATGTGCAGCCTGTGTTTCTCTGACAGTTTGATCAGAACAGGACTTAAAACTAGATTACTAAACATTGCTTTATTTCACATATACAAACAAACAACACTAATGAAATACAATAATACAAAAAAACGTTCATCTTTCATGTATGGTAGTTTCAGCAGCTGAAACTGAGCGAGTTTAAGGATTCAGGCGATTTACATCTGTCAGCATTTTCATTGATTGTTTAATTGTTTCTTCCTTTCTGTTTTTCTTTTATAATATGCGTTAAATATTTTTTGGCATAGTTAATTGTGGAATTTTGAAATTCTTGGTATTTTATGGATTAAATATCTGACCAATTTATCAGAAATTGAATAAGCGATTATTCAGAATTTAAGATTTTTGGGATTCAGTTGTGGCTCTTGTTAATCTTGAAACTTTGAACAGGGAAAAAAAAACATAAAATCAAATCCAAAATTAAACAATGTTGATGCAAACAACTCATCCTGTGAACATCTTTGGAATACAAACTCCATTTTTGACATCAAATGTTTCATCACATCAGCGTTTAAAGAGGCACAAGGAAAACATCATTCAGTGTAAGGTCTGCAACAACAGTTATCAATGCAGGAGCAGAGTTACAGTAGAGTTACAGTAGAGTTACAGTAGCAGTGTTACAGGAGCAGAGTTACAGTAGAGTTACAGTAGCAGTGTTACTGTAGAGTTACAGTAGCAGTGTTACAGGAGCAGAGTTACAGTAGAGTTACAGTAGCAGTGTTACTGTAGAGTTACAGTAGCAGTGTTACAGTAGCAGTGTTACAGTAGCAGTGTTACGGTAGCAGTGTTACAGTAGCAGTGTTACAGTAGCAGTGTTACGGTAGCAGTGTTACAGTAGCAGTGTTGCAGTGTTACAGTAGCAGTGTTACAGTAGCAGTGTTACAGTAGCAGTGTTACAGTAGCAGTGTTACGGTAGCAGTGTTACAGTAGCAGTGTTACGGTAGCAGTGTTACAGTAGGAGTGTTACTGTAGAGTTACAGTAGCAGTCTTACAGTAGCAGTGTTACGGTAGCAGTGTTACAGTAGCAGTGTTACAGTAGCAGTATTGCAGTGTTACAGTAGCAGTGTTACAGTAGCAGTGTTACTGTAGAGTTACAGTAGCAGTCTTACAGTAGCAGTGTTACAGTAGCAGTGTTACTGTAGAGTTACATTAGCAGTGTTACAGTAGCAGTGTTACAGTAGCAGTGTTACTGTAGAGTTACAGTAGCAGTGTTACAGGAGCAGAGTTACAGTAGAGTTACAGTAGCAGTGTTACTGTAGAGTTACAGTAGCAGTGTTACAGGAGCAGAGTTACAGTAGAGTTACAGTAGCAGTGTTACTGTAGAGTTACAGTAGCAGTGTTACAGTAGCAGTGTTACTGTAGAGTTACAGTAGCAGTGTTACAGTAGCAGTGTTACAGGAGCAGAGTTACAGTAGAGTTACAGTAGCAGTGTTACTGTAGAGTTACAGTAGCAGTGTTACAGTAGCAGTGTTACTGTGGAGTTACAGTAGCAGTGTTACAGTAGCAGTGTTACTGTAGAGTTACAGTAGCAGTGTTACAGTAGCAGTGTTACAGTAGCAGTGTTACGGTAGCAGTGTTACAGTAGCAGTGTTGCAGTGTTACAGTAGCAGTGTTACAGTAGCAGTGTTACAGTAGCAGTGTTACAGTAGCAGTGTTACTGTAGAGTTACAGTAGCAGTGTTACAGTAGCAGTGTTACTGTAGAGTTACAGTAGCAGTGTTACAGTAGCAGTGTTACAGTAGCAGTGTTACTGTAGAGTTACAGTAGCAGTGTTACAGTAGCAGTGTTACAGTAGCAGTGTTACAGTAGCAGTGTTACAGTAGCAGTGTTACTGTAGAGTTACAGTAGCAGTGTTACAGTAGCAGTGTTGCAGTGTTACAGTAGCAGTGTTACAGTAGCAGTGTTACAGTAGCAGTGTTACTGTAGAGTTACATTAGCAGTGTTACAGTAGCAGTGTTACTGTAGAGTTACAGTAGCAGTGTTACAGTAGCAGTGTTACTGTAGAGTTACAGTAGCAGTATTACAGTAGCAGTGTTACTGTAGAGTTACAGTAGCAGTGTTACAGTAGCAGAGTTACAGTAGAGTTACAGTAGCAGTGTTACAGTAGCAGAGTTATAGTAGAGTTACAGTAGCATGTGACAGTGATCAGTTACTCTTCAGGATCTGCACACTCAGTTTTGATTCTTCTCGTAGCAGTAAAATAACAACAGTGCCCCTTCAATTTTGGTGTTCATTTACTTTGACTGTACATGTGCAAAAACTGGGCTGATTTTGTGAAAATCCCTAAATATTTAACAAGATGACAAATGATATCTTATTCTGAAGATGATAATATTTTGTCTTAAAAAAACACCAGTTTACTGACGAAAAAGTTCCTGGAAGAACGTCTGAATAAGGTTCCTGAAAGCACCGTCAGGGTGGTGTAAAGACAATTCCAGAGTGATCGTGACTTTTCTTATGTTACATTTATATCAGGGTGCTAATGTTGTCGAATCAGTCTGCAGTATAATAGCTAGTTTTATTAAATCCCTTCGGGTCTTCAGACAGGGTGTCTGAAGAGGCAAGTGAGAATTTATTTTTCGGGTGACCCATTTTCTCTGATCTAAATCATTTCTTGTGAAGATGTGAGTGTGACAAAAAGTCGTGTTGAGCCACAGCGTGGGTTGCTGATGTTTCGGTGAGGTTAACATACAGTCAAGTGTTTATAGAACGAGGCACATTAAAGGAGTTTATTCTTCATGTGTAAAGTCTGCATAGTTGTTTAGTATTCCTTCATTAAAGCTCCTTCTCTTTATGGAGCCAAAAGTCAATCCTTCCCACCCTGCTACTTGTAACTGTCGGTGACATCACAGTGAAGTCACAGTGGTGGACCTGGCTAAGTGGGCGGGGCCTGGAATCACAGCAGGTTGATAAGCAGAGGACCAGTGGGCGATGATAGATGACGAGAACAGACACCCTCTCGACCAACCGCGGGCCTCTGCCAGCTCCTGCGGCAGGCTCTCAGCTAATCGTGTCAGCTGCTCCTCCCCCTGCCGGATGAGCTCGTCCAGGTGCCGCTGGCGAATCAGAAGGCATGGTTTGGTGCTGACGAAGCGCTGGTAGACCTGGAGCTGCGGCTCAGTGAGGTAGCTGGACACGATGGTGTGGACCACTCCCTGTCGCCGGTCCAGGTTGTCCTTCAGCTCCCGGGCGTCTTCGGTCTGAGCGAGGAGCAGAGAGCGCTTGTGATGGAGGCAGTCCTGAACAGGAGGAGACAGCCAGATATACGTCAGCTGACACAACTCATATTTGATACTGTTCATGGCAACATGGATCTGCATTTCAAACAGCAGCAGTGTCCTTCTCGGACCTGCAGTCCCTTTGGTCCTCTGGCATGATGGACACAGTGGACATTCAGCCATGCTGCAGTTAAAAGCAGGTAAACTGTGCTTTTCCAACTGCAACATACACTCTGATTAAGTTCAGTATCAGGGTCCTGGTATTGTGCATGCTTGCTCCAGTAGAGATCCCGTTTTTAAAAGGCTTCATTCCATAATGCAATTCAGGACTGTGACTGCAATCCAGGCTAGCCATGATCAGAATCATTTCACACTCTTTTTTTATATAGATGAACCTCTTAATAACCTTAATAACATGAGTTTTATATATGATACTAAATGAAGGACTCTATTGAATTGAAATAAATGGAAGCCGGGACTTAAATGATGCTGCACTTCCATCGTCATGGAGACATGCAGAAAATAAAGTTTCTCTTCAAGAATTTAAAGGGAGTAATTGATAAACAAATGGCCACTCTGTTGATGAAAGATTTCTTCAAAGTCACATGAGAAATTAAACCCAGCTCATGAGTCCTCTGCAGACACATAGATGGGAAGGTACATAGGCTCATGGGTCACAGAGTCACAGAGTCACTGAGTCACTGAGTCGCAGAGTCACTGAGTCACAGAGTCACAGAGTCGCAGAGTCACAGAGTCGCTGAGTCGCTGAGTCGCAGAGTCGCAGAGTCGCAGAGTCGCTGAGTCACAGAGTCGCTGAGTCGCAGAGTCGCTGAGTCGCAGACTCTCTGAGTCGCAGACTCTCTGAGTCGCAGAGTCGCTGAGTCACTGAGTCGCAGAGTCGCAGAGTCGCTGAGTCGCAGAGTCGCAGAGTCACTGAGTCGCAGAGTCGCAGAGTCACAGAGTCACAGAGTCAATGAGTCTCGCAGAGTCGCTGAGTCTCGCAGAGTCGCAGAGTCACAGAGTCACTGAGTCACAGAGTCACAGAGTCACTGAGTAGCCGAGTCACTGAGTCACTGAGTCACAGAGTCACTGAGTCACTGAGTAGCAGAGTCGCAGAGTCGCTGAGTCGCAGAGTCGCTGAGTCGCTGAGTCGCAGAGTCGCACAGTCGCTGAGTCTCGCAGAGTAACAGAGTCACAGAGTCACTGAGTCGCAGAGTCGCAGAGTCGCAGAGTCGCACAGTCGCTGAGTCTCGCAGAGTAACAGAGTCACAGAGTCGCTGAGTCGCTGAGTCTCGCAGAGCAGCAGAGCAGCAGAGCAGCAGAGCAGCAGAGCAGCAGAGCAGCAGAGCAGCAGAGCAGCAGAGCAGCAGAGCAGCAGAGCAGCAGAGCAGCAGAGCAGCAGAGCAGCAGAGCAGCAGAGCAGCAGAGCAGCAGAGCAGCAGAGCAGCAGAGCAGCAGAGCAGCAGAGCAGTAGAGCGTCCTGTCTCACCCTCTCGCCGGCCCTGTCCTCCTGCGTCTGCTCCTCTCTCTCCAGAGCCAGCAGAGCTCTGTGGATCCTGGACAGCCGGCTGCACAGAGACAGCAGCAGGTTGACCATCCTCTCCAGATCCCCTGGAACACAGGCAGCACAACTCACACTGTGATACACGGCAGCATGTTGACATATTTCTGGCTTCTTAAATCCATTCTGTTAGAGTGAGCGTCAGCCGCGTACCTATGAACATGCTGTACTTGTCCCTCTCGTTGGGTCTGAGGTGTCCCTGCAGCAGCGTCTCCACGCCGGCCCCCAGCTCCTGGTGCCCCCTCTGCTCCTCACTCAGCGCCTCCTTCTCCTGCCGCAGCGCAGCCACGCTGCCCCGCAGAGCCTCACACAGCTCCAACTGCTCAGCAAATCATACAGTTAATAATACTTTTTATAGTCTTTATTATAATCGTTAAAAGCTAATATGTATAATATTAATAATAAGAATATATTTTATAATCGTAACTATAATAGTAATATTTAATAGCTAATATTTATTATAGTAATAATAACAATAATATCATATTTATAATAATAACAATAAGAAGAATATGTATAATAATACAAATCGTTTTTATAATCTTTATTATATTATATATGATTATGAAAGACTTTGTGAGCTATATCTATATAATTATAGATATAGCTCGTACAATTATGATAATTATTATTCTGATGATGAAATGAGAGAAGCCTCAGACCTTCTTGGTGTTCAGGTCCTTCTCATGCTCATCCAGATCTGTCTCTTTCCCTGGAGCAGCCGCCGAGCTCTGTGCAGGATCACAGACGCCATCTTGGATCCTAGGCAGGGAACATCATACATTACAAGTGTTGGGAAAATACTGAATGTACTCTTTCAAGGAGGTGCACATGATAACAAAGGCATTGAATTTGAATACTTTGAATACTGCTTTATATTATGACTAAATAATACCAGGTGACCAGTGAGATTTTTCTTTTTCATCAGTTCACGATCAGGAATATAAATGAAACATTCACACAGAAAAGAGTTTTGATAATAATAAAACTCAGGCAAGTAGAAGAATATACAAAGGCAAAACACATGAGGGAATTACCTGTCCTCCAATCTGCCACTGCCTTGCCACAGTGAGTTACCAACCAATCTGCTGTTTGGAAAAGTCTCCTCCATAAACTCTACGGTGGATTTACCCCCCCACGTGTCCAGGAGGGGCGCCAGAGAGCTGTCCTGCAACACCTAGAAACAAAGAAGTGAGAGTTATAATAAAGTGTCCAGCGGATAAATGCTGTAAAACCAATCCATAGGCGCAGTGTATCTGTAAATGATCTCAAATAAAATGTTGAAATACTAGTGCTAAACCAGAAGAACTAAGACATCAGCACTTAAACCATGGATGTATAAAGGATTAAAATGGAAGTTTGAAAATGAGCGGGGATACATGAAGTGAATTTTACTACACAGAAGGATTCAGAGGACACAAGATGAGTCATCATTTTGGCCAAAACGAATAAAGTTTGAGCCAAGTAAAACAGAGTCAGAAATTGATGTACAAAAACAAAGGTTTATCCAAACAAAGTTCTGACTGGAGGAACCCACCAGCTGCCGGGCCAGCGCCTCCACTCGCAGCTCGTCCCAGGTCTTCTCCCTCCTGGGCAGGTGCTGGTACTCCAGACTGAGGCTGTCCAAGGGTTGGGTGGATGTGGTGAAGGTTGAGGGCTGTGGCGTCAGGGTAGGAAGGAGGATGGGTTCAGACAGAGGAATTGAGGAGGAAGAAGGTGACAATGGAGGGGAGGGCAGGGAGTTGTTTAAGAACTCCATGCTTGGACTGAATAACGGGACGAGAACAGAGAAAAAGTTAATTAATTCAGTCAGTAAAAAAATAATCTAAAAGGTCCATAATCATTATATTTAGATTGAGGTTTAAAATCATTCTTCAACAAACCTCCCAACAGTCTGGTGTCCAGCTTCCTCCTCCAACTCCAGGGGAGGAGGAAGAGCAGGGAAGTCCTCCAGGAGGCTTGTCTCTTTGATATGTGGTGATGGAGGGTCAGGATTTTGAAGGAACACCTCATCAAAGTCGTCCAGCGGTCGGCCTGGCGTAGACTCTACCGGCTGCGGCTGGTCGCTGCAGCTGAAGAGGCTGGACTCAGAGATCCGCAGGGAGGACAGGTGCTGGGGGATGGACGGATGGTAGGATGGGGGCGGAGACGATGGAGTGGTTCCGCTGTCCTTCCTGTTTGGTGGGGATGCCAGCTGGATATGGGGCAGGTGTGTTGGCATCACCGGTGAAACTTGTTTGCTGTTTTCTGCAGAAAACCCTGCTATCATGTCTAAACTGGACGCTCTCTCTCTACACATGTCTCCCGCGGTGTCTTCTAATCCTCTGGAGTCACTGAAACTGTGTCTGGTCGGTCCGTCCGTCACCAGGGTCGTGTTGCTGAGTGTTCCGGGGAAGGTGATGGCGTCCAGGTTGGCCTGGCTCAGCCGCTCACTTGCATGCCACTCAGCGCTGCCACTGTCCAGAGCTCCAGGGGAGGAGAGGGGGGAGGGCAGGCCCACAGAGGCCGCCAAGGTGGAGGTGCTGCTGGCTCTCTGCCGCTCGCTGAGCCTCTGTCGCTCCCTACAAGTGACAGGAGTGTGGGAGGAGCCTGGGTATTGGATCAGAACACAAGGAAGAGTCAGAGAGGAGTCACAGTGCTCTCACATATGTCCATGTGCTCAAGATTCCAGATTCAAATAAATCTCATCCGGTCGTGCCCTAAAGTTATATATTTTTGGCGGTCAATTCGAAGCGAGATTAAGAAAGTGTTTGGTATAGATTCATCTCAAAATAGGAACTGGTCCCCATATAATAGCACTATACATGAGGGAGGAATGGTTCAGTGTTATAACTATGGGCATAAATCTAACGGAATTAGTTTTCACACATGAGTACCGCACGAGTTACTGTTATTTTTCTCATTTCTTTCTATCCTGGTCTGGTCTGGTCTGTTGTGTGGGTTTTATTATGTGTTGTTGTTTTGTCCTAAATGTTTTAGTATTGTATCACTTTGTAACTGCTGAAAATAATAACATATATATTTTTTTAAAATGACAGTTTGACCCCAAACTAGAAGAACATCAAAATGTAGAGACATCTCTGTGTGCTCAGACATTTGTCTTCTCAGTTTAAATGCAGTTAACAGAATGTTTTGAATCACCTTGTGAAGGCCCTGCAGGCTGGACGGAGTTCAGACTGTTTCTGGAGCCTCGCAGAGAGAAGAGTCCGTCTGATAGTTGGACCACTGCAGGTCTGAAAGACAGACACATTTAGAGACAATTAAAGAAATGGGGGAACATGATGAAGGTAATATGTTTAGTTTTGTTGTTGCTGTGTCAGAGAATTACATTTGACTTCATTTAACAATCGAATATGGTTTAGAAAAAGACAAAACAAAAAGAACATATAAGAGCATTGTACACAGTTCAAAAACAAACCATACCGAAGAAAGATATTAGAGAAAAACTAATAAATGTTAATGATATTGTTATAATATGTCCGGGTCACATTCCTTCCTGCTTGTAAGCTTCATCTGTACAGACTCAGGCGTGTGCTTGGTTCTGATTGGCTGTAATGACCGGCACAGTCTGTGGGGGGTGCTGACAGGTTGGAAAGGAATCAGGCCCGGTTCTACGGGGGTGCATACGGGTGTCGTTATGCACCCTCATTTGAAAAATGAAAAGTGAAAAAAAAAGAAAAGTGAAAAAAAAAAAAGTGAAAAATATTACATATATAATAATAATAGTAGTAATAATAAGAAGAGTAATAAGAAGAAGAATTTAGTTGAAATAAAATAAATTGTAATTGTGGTTAAATAACATTGTCTGCTGCATTTATTTGGTCAATTTAAACGGTAAGTAACGTTATTATGTCAGGTGCGCGTGACCTGTGCCGCTGCGCGTTCGTCATCTGCAAGGTGCTTACACAGCAGTCAGTGATGGACATCAGACAATGGTTAAAACAACCAGCCCTTATCGCCAGCAGTAACACTGCATCTACTGCAGGTAATAACAGTTCAGATCATGGGGACATTACGTTACCCGCGGCCACTGTCGTGGACACTAACGCCCGACTCGTCGGCTTTGCCCGCCTCGCCCACGGAGGCGGAGCAGCCGCAGCCATCTTCATTGCCCCAAACACCGCCACCCCTCAGCGGCCCGCAAGTGTCAGAGGACCTCAGCAAAACAGAGCCTGCCCAGGTATATTTAAAAAAGTACCCAACTCGCCTGTACAGCGGGGTAAGGCGCTCATTTTGCAGCTCATGGTTTCAAAACAGAGATTGACTGGAATATTCATGTGAAAAGGATGCCATCTTCTGCTATGCATGTAGACATTTCGGTTCAAGTAAGTCAGATGCCTTCACCACAACTAGCTACAACAACTGGCGCCATGCTCTTGTACGTGATAAGGGACTGGGAAGGCATGAATCAAGCAAAGAGCACATAGATCCATAGATCTCTTCATGTTGCTCTCAAAATGCACCAGATTGATGCTTTTAACTTCAACATTTAAAAACAATTCTTCCCGGGGGAGCATGCACCCGGACCCCCCTAGAGGAGGTGAGGACCCCCCTAGACCTAGAGGGTCCACTCCCCACTTATAAAAATAGCACTTTACCACTGCACCCTCTCTAATCTCAGATGCAGAGTCACTTTGTTCTGGAACCGGGCCTGAAAGGAATACATCTAAAGTTTTAGAAGTGTTGTGTATTAGAATTGTCACTTTCTTATTTCTTCAGCCCAGAGATCATTCACATTCCTGAAGTGACCTTTGACCTTCACATTTATAGGGGGAACATATTTGAGAGTTTCAAGTGAATTATGTCGCTGGACTATTTTTCTTTCTCCGTGTCAGGGAGTTTTCTCTGCTTGTTTAGATTCCTCTGTTCCTCCCTTCTTCACTCCTCTCACTCACTCACTCTGCCCTTTAGAACCTCACTCCTCTTAAATCTTTCTTCCCTTCTTTCTTTCTGGTCATCTGACTCCTTGATTTCTTTGTCTCCTTATTCACCTTCCTCCTCCATCTTCCCCCTGTGCCTCCTTTCCAAGGACCTTTCCTTCTTGTTTCCCCCATTTCTCCTTCCTTTTCACCTCATGCACTTCCCTTCATTAACTTCCTTGATTTGCTCTGTACCTCCTTCACATCTACCTTTTTACTCTGTCCCTTCTTCCCTTCATCTATCCTTTGCAAAATATTTTCTCTTATCTTATGTTTAATCTTCTGGCTGGAGTGGACCACAGCCACACATTCTAAATAGAACTAAATACATTTGGGTTTTCTTCGCAGTATATTTGAATATCTCTATTAAGAGAGATACATGAGGTACATGATGGCCACGATGAGGGTTACAAAAGCAAACACTTAGAAAAATGATCCTGAGAATTCCTAGCTTTTTTAAACCCACTTGTTTTCATAGAGGACTTCATAGAATTAGTTTTGGATCAGCAGAAATAAAGATCATGACTGCCCAACATTTACTGAACTGAGAAACATGATAAATGAGATGACAGGGAGGGGCAGGTGAGGGATTAGAACCATCAGCTGTTTGTTCACGATCACATGACCAGAGTGTGGATGGGACCTACCTGTCCTCAGCCAGAGAGGGGCGTCCAGGTTCAGGATAACAGACCCCCCAACATCCTGCCGTCACCTGCAGGGTCCTGCAACATGCACGCACGCACGCAGGCACGCACACACACACACACACACACACACACACACACACACACACACACACACACACACACACACACACACACACACACACACACACACCACACACACACACACACCACACACACACACACACACCCACACACACACACACACACACACACACACACACACACACAACACACACACACACACACACACCACACACACACACACACACACACACACACACACACACACACAACACACACACACACACACACACACACACACACACACACAGTGACCCCCCAGAATCAGTAAGGTTTGATCTTATCCTATTGTATTTTAAAAGCCATGTGCAATCTTTGTCTTGTTATCATCTTCATTTGAATACTTCAATAGCTTAAGAGCATTGTTATACTGTTATAGTCATCATGAGAGTAGTTTAGTGCAGACATAAATCAAGAAAAGCATCTGTAATGTCTCCATTCTTTCACCTCACCTTTATGGTATAATAACAATGGGCTTTTGATAAGGTTTTTTTTATGGTTGTAATAAATATAAAAAAAACCTTAACAAGTTGTTGTTGTTGGCTGGGCACTTTCTAGAGTCTGTGCTAAAACGTGAGCTCGATTGCAACAGGAGAGTTAAGCAGGAGAAAGAGGGGGACAATGAGCAGCAGAGGTCTGTGGCTTGAATTGAACAATAATTATTGCATTCAGACGGGATGTGTCTTAACCACTAGGTCCCCGGGTGCCCTGATATTCATTTGTTCCTGGAACTTTATTGTTTACCTTTGTTTAATTGTACAGTTAATAGTACCAAATTATTGTTTTTAATTATGTGTTTTAAAAAATATATAAACCTTACGCACCTGCTGCTCTAAACAAGTTGTTGCTTCTGTGTCTCTTACGGATTGGAAAGCAAAATTCCGGTAGTGGCCCCTGCGATCCCTGAGGGACCACAGACCTCATCACACACTAAACTGGAGTCTGACGCTCCTGACTCAGAGCTGTCAGTAGCTTCAGTGCTCAAACCAAAACCACTGGTGTCAAGTAACTAAGTACATTTACTCAAGTACAATTTTGAGATACTAGAACTTTTTGAGACTTTGTACTTCTACCCCACTACAATTCAGAGGTAAATGGTGTACTTTTATTCCACTACATGTATGTAATACCTTTAGTTACTTCACAGATGTGAATGATGTGAAATATAATCAGGTGTTAAATCAGCCTTTAGTTCCACCTGGAGTAAATCCACAAGCTACCCTGCAGTATACAAAGTCATTCAAACTAGCTGCACCTTTACCAGCTTTCAGAACACTTTCATGATCAATCATTATAAAACATATCATATATATTATTCTGAAATGGACCAATCTGCACAACGACTACTTTTACTGTCGCTACTTTCACTATATTTTGATGAGAATACTTTTCTACTTTCACTTGATGAACATTTTGAATGCAGGACTTATACTTGTAACAGAGTATTCCTACACTTCTACTTTGACTTTAGTACAATAAAGTTGCTTCCTACATTGAGTATTTAAAATCTTAAAATTGGGCATATATATTCCACAGTGTGGTAAAACATACACCAAAGCAGTGAGTTGTAGGGTTAGGATACAGCCTCCAAAATGGTCCTTGCTGGTACTGTATGTTCAAAGACTTCTTAATTAAGTGAGATGTATTGTTTAAGGCCCCGTCTACACGGAGACGAAACGGAGATGAAAACAAACTGAATTCGATGTCAAAAAAGTAATTGGAATCGGCTCAAGAAACGTGTCCGTCCCCACGAGACCGCTCGACACGCTGGAGACGCTATAGTACATATGCCGGGCCTGTAAGTGGCGCTGTACTTCCGCCACAAAATACACCAAAAGCAGCGAATAAGACCCCCCGAGCATGGTTGCCATGGTTGCCTGGTTGCCCTTCTGTTATTCTCCGTGGTGGATTTAGCAACATGTAGTTCATGTAGTTCTCCATGTCCACTTGTTGCTGATGGTTGTGGTAGAGGAGCTGTAGATTTTGCACTAACATCTGTAGCATGGTCAGTAGCGTCTGGAGCACGAACGCAACCCTGTGTTCCGCCATTGTTGTTGTTGGCGAAACACATCAGCAATGACGCGGGTGACGCGGGGGTGAGCAGGAGAGGTGGGGAGAGGCGGGGCTATGGCGTCATCGTTATCAGGAAATGATCGTATAGGGCGTACACACGGAGCTGCAAGCATTTCGTCCGCAGATCTACCCACCTTGGGAGCCGTTATCGTTATCCACGTTTCCGTGTCGGCCTCGTGTGGATGAACTATATGTTTCTATGTTCTATACCAGGGGTTTTCAAAGTGTGGGAAGGTGAGCCTCCCCTCAGAGAACATAAGAACAGCCGCGCCCCCCCTCCCAATTATTATTGCTATTATTATTATTATTGTTGTTGTTGTTGTTGCTATAATGCAGGGGGTATTATTATCCAGTGGAATGCCCTTACCTACTGGCCTAGTTAAATCAAAGTGGTTACTTTCTTTTGGCTGGGCAGTGTAGTTTTACACACCGTCTTATTTGACTTTCTCAGGACTTCAAACTGTTTTTTGGGGGCTGACCCCCTCAAAGAAAAAAATATATTTCCACACGTAAGGTCATCATCTTAACAGTTTTTTATGCTCATCGAGTCATCCGTGAGCAGAGCATCAAGTTGGCATGCCTATAACAGCTGAATGCGGCGATTACCATCTTGTTCAGCAAAACGCCTCAAAAATTGATTAAGATCCAAAGCTTTAGTGCGTTTTGATTCAATCCTGAGTACAGCCAAACTTGACAGTCTCTTCTCTGTCATTGTAGACCGCAAATACCTCATTCCTTCAGTGCTTGAGTCCGAATGCGCCGTCCCATTCAAATGAAATCGCCGCCAATCACATTTCCTCGCTCGCGCCAGGCCCGGGGGAGGGGTTACAAGGCTCGCGTCTAGTGCTGCATTCACTTGCACTCGGACATTAGGGATTTTCTCTCATAATGTCCGATGAGCCACAACTTTTATTTCAAAACAAAGCTGACGTTTTCTGCCAGACGCTGTCTCCTCTTTCACTTTAGGTAACTTCACTAAAAATCGATCCATGTTGCCGCTCGTATAAAGTTAGCTGAAGTGAACTAGCTAGATTTCACTGTTTCTCGTTATTTTTTTCTCACGCTGCGCCTCCCCTGAAGCTCTCTGGCGCCTCCCAGGGGAGGCGCGCCTCACACTTTGAAAACCGCTGTTCTATACGATAGATAGAGAACTTTAGCGGATACAACCCGTTTCGTCTCTGTGTGGACGGGGTCTAAAGTTAGAGGACAGAGTGTCTGTTTGTCTGACTGAAGTGTAATGATGTTTATGTGGCACAGCATGCTCTGATCACTGAAGCAGATAGAAGAGCAATTAATCCTTTACTGCATTCTTTAAGAACTCTGTAGACGTGTGAATGATGAAGTTATGTGTGTTATCTTTGCAGTCATCCACATCGGACAGCGCCCAGCCACTGGCTCTCTGGCACCTCACAGGAAACGCTGAAGACTCTGGGTATTTCCTGTGTGCCTCTGCGCCTAATGTCCCTTAATGGCAACATGTCATGAATTAACTGGATACACCATGAGGGCCGGGAATGTCTACATCCATTCTTTACTCCATTTGAGTAGGATATTTCATTTTGGACCAATAGATGGCCAAAAAATGTATACTGGTACACCTTTATTGTATACTTATTAAACATTATACTATTTTTTGAAGCAATATGTACAATTTGTTTTTTATTAACTATGCCAAGAAGTTGACTAGATTTTCCTCTTGCTTTGTGTGTCTGAATGTCTGTTAGCAGGAGTGAGGAAAAACTGCTGGCCCGACTTCAGAACATTCAGTTGAACGATGGAACGAGGATGAATACATTAAATGATGGATCTTAATCATTGGGGGTTAACACAATTATGTTTCACTTTCGTTTATATTGCAAGATATGGAATTTGTGCTGCATGTGATGTTGGAAATATCAGAACAAATATTTAGGGGCTACTTTTTTTGCTGATACAGGCAGGTTCTTGTGTATGTAATTTAGCATTTTAACCCGCACTTACATTGTATGGAATTTGAAATGTCCTTCCTAGGGGTCCCTGTTCTTGTAACGGCAGAAGGAAATGGGAAAGTAGACATGTTGACTAAGTAATCCCTATAAGAACTTTATCGGACATACAGATACCAAACAGAGGATACAACTATCATACATAACTATAAACGCCTTATTGAGCGAAAATCCTGGAACCTAAGTGACAATTTAGCCCGAGGGAAGAGAACAGGAAGCACAGGATTACATCAAACAGGCACCCCACTGGACTATGCACACATTGTAATAAATCACATATTGTCAAACATGTACTAATAGACATTCACAAGTAGGCCCTATGACAAAGAAAGAAGATAATTATTGCCAGGATTATTTGGTGAAAATCTCAGTATTACATTGGGGAATTCTCCAGAAAACATATTAGAGAAGGTTCCTATTTCTCCATGTGCTAGTTGCAGTAAGGCACTTGGTAATGTAAACGCTGACTAACCTCAAAAAGGTGTCGGCCAGTTTGAACGTGTCCTTTCGAAAGCATTCATCAAACCTGATTTATACACTTTAAAAGGGCTTTGAGTTTGTTGAGGCCATAACATTTTCATGTGTGCACAGACTCACTTCTAAACCCATTGAAGCAGCCACACAGGCACATCTCTATCAGGCACTGCACTTTAACTCCCGAGTAACCGTCTGCACCAATAACCAGCCAACACCTAATACTGGTGTACTTTTACTTGAGTAAAAGTAGAAGTACTCAGAACTTGTACTTGAGTAAAAGTAGAAGTACCAGAGTGTAGGAATACTCTGTTATAGTAAAAGTCCTGCATTCAAAATGTTCCTCAAGCAAAAGTAGAAAAGTATTCTCATGAAAATATAGTTAAAGTAGCGACAGTGAAAGTAGTCGTTGTGCAGATTGGTCCATTTCAGAATAATATATCTGATATGTTTTATAATGATTGATCATGAAAGTGTTCTCAAAGCTGGTAAAGGTGCAGCTAGTTTGAATGACTTTGTATACTGCAGGGTAGCTGGTGGATTTACTCCAGGTGGAACTAAAGTCTGATTCAATACTTGATTATATTTACCATCATTCATCCACATATGTGAAGTAACTGAAGGTATTAAATACATGTAGTGAAGGAAAAGTACTAAGTAGCAGACAATGGAAATAACTACACTCATCAACAAATCATTTCATATTATGATTATTTTATTTCTTGGTTATATTATAATAGGGCAAATATTGTTCCTGCTAACTTGCAACTCGCAACAACGATAGTGATAATTTGAAATGGATTATGAGTAGGAGCAATGTTACCTGATGGAGTCTCTGGGCTGTAGGGGAGGAGCGTGAGCGGCAGTGTTGAGGAGTCATCTGTCTCTCCTCAGACCTCCCCAGGAGGTCCTCAGTGGTGGCTGACCTCACAGAGCCTCGAGTGGAGCCAGCCCTCTGCAGAGCCCCGTTCAGCTGCTGGGACAGGCCCAGGTGGAGGGGGTGCTCTGAGGCAGACTGCTGCAGGTCTCTGCTGCTGGAGGTCTGTCTCCTGAGCCCTGCTTCAGGAGGGACATCCTGGAGGAGCCCGTCCTGGAGGAACCCGTGCTGGAGCTCAGGGAGGGAGTCAGAAGGAGCACTGGGAGAACAAACCAGGAACTTTGTCATATATTCATTCATTCATTGACATTATATGAATCCGTTTAAGTCTACCAGACTAGAACATTTTTCATTTCTAACTCATAATGTGTGTATATGTCTACATATCTGTATGAGTATGTACAGTATGTGTATGTGTGTATATATATATATATATATATATATATATATATATATATATATAAGAGGGTGTTCAGATGTGTGTGTAAGTATGTATATATATATATACGTATATATTGTTATATATCCTTATTCTTGGGGACAGTGAAAATAGCACTTTGGTCTCCCTGTTTGTATCACACACACAGAGAAATTGAAAATAAACTGACTTGGACTTGGAAGGAGTTCATCAATTGTAATAATACTGTACAAGTTTAACAACAGAAGTTTAGTTTGTCACTGAATTATTGAACACTTTGAACTGCTGGAGGTCTGAAGTCGTTCATAGCAGTCCATGTTGTTGAGATACTGTATTTTAGTCTGGACCACAGGGATAGCCCTCCACCTGAAAGGCCAAAACAAACAAGCCTCATTGCTGGCATGGTAAAAAATTGATGTTAGATGCAGCTGGTATGGTTTATATTACCCAGTAGATGAGTGCGATGCTGGCCTTGGAGTGGTCACCCTGCCCGGGTAGAAGAGGTTGGACTGGAGGCTCCACAGGTCCTCTCCAGGAGGGAGGGCGGAGCAGGAGGAGAAGCTTCGATCTGTAACAGAGTCCTGGAGGGAGAGCAGGCTGGAGGTGGGGGAGAGACTGCGGGTGTCTGATTGACAGGAGGACGCTGTAGAGATGGAGGGAAAGAGAGGAAGAAGATAAGAAGGGATCCATCCATCCACCACACCTAAATCCTCATTCTACTTCCCTTCCTACCCCAACCCACCTGAATGGTTGTTGTTTTCAGGCTGTAGATAAGCACTCCGGGGCCTCAGTCCACTCCTCTGTCCTCCCTTGTCTCTTTTCATGCTTCTCTTCCTCTCCATGTAATCAGCCAGAGCGTCGTGCTGAAGCTGTCGCAAGTCGGGCCTTGAAGTGGCATTTTGCAGAGGCCCGCCCCCGACTCGATTTGTCTCCAGCTCAAACATCCTCCGACGCTCTGCCACGCTGGTATCTGACGACAGAAGATCAGAGCGCATGGTCAGTCACATGCGGACACTAAATGATATATCTGTTACATATAATGTATATTATATAGATGTTATACTGTATATATATTAAATATATATCTATATATATATATATTTATAAACAGCATATACCAACAAAGACATTGGTTCTCCTTAGGGCTGGGCTCAGTCTTTGCTAAACTTAGTATTCAATAACGTTTCCAGAAGTAAACCTTTATTAGGTACAATATTAAATTATGTTAATATTTGTTTTTGTCCAATATGAAATAAAAAGCCAATCTTATTAAATGCATTGATGCTGAACATTGTCAACACATAGCAGTCGTACAATAACACTTTATACATAAGATAACAAATAAATCTGAATCTGAAAACTAAGCTGTGGGTATAGAGCTATTGCTGCAGCTAGGTTACCACTGATGTCAACTCTTAGCAAGCCTAATTTAGCAGAATAAGTATATAATTTCTGGAAACCAAATGCTTGACTCATCCAGTTATTACTTTTTAACCAACGTTTGGCTAGTTTGTGCAAAAACCTAGCTACGTTTCTGACAATGCAACAGATAACTATATGCCTCTCTAAACCAAGCCCCTAGAGTGTTGTCAACACCATGAGGCATGTCGAGCAATAGTTACTTTTAAATCTGCTTCACTTACCTCCTCCACGCCTGAAGAGGGCAGCAGTCTCAGCATCTGAAACCCCGACCTCATTCATGTTCTCTGGCTCCGAGTATGATCGCTTCTTTTGGTCTAAATTCAGACGTTTGCGGCCGCAGATTCTCGTCAGACCAGGAGGACCAACTGGTGGGACATTGGGGAGGGCAGGGGGGCTCGGGCCTCTAGTTTCCGGGTTGACCACATGCCGCTCCTTCGGAGTGTGAAGGGAAGTGACCAGGGGGAGCAGCTGTGGTGCCATGACGACACCCTGTGGTTTGGGCATGGTTTTTGGACCTTTCTTCTCCAGCGAGTGGTTCTTGGCAGAGACATGTTGAGTCTGATCGGTGATAGAGGAGGAGACGGGAGGAGGAGCTGTGGGAGGGGGAGCTGGAGGAGGTGTAGGGCTGATTGACGAGCTCAGGTCTCTCCTTCTGAAGGAGGTGGAACCCAGGACCTTAGACTGGGCATCTTTCAAAGAGTCCCTGTAAGATCTGATAGAGACATGTTTCCTGTGTGAGACTTATGATACTGATTAGAATAATCTTACCTGTTGGAGGATCCTGACCTATTGTAAGACCCTGACCTGTTGAAGGACTCTGAGACGTTAAAGGACCCTGACCTGTAGGAGGACCCTGACCTGTTGAAGGACTCTGAGACGTTAAAGGACCCTGACCTGTAGGAGGACCCTGACCTGTTGAAGGACTCTGAGCAGTTAAAGGACCCTGACCTGTAGGAGGACCCTGATCTGTTGAAGGACTCTGAGACGTTAAAGGACCCTGACCTGTAGGAGGACCCTGACCTGTTGAAGGACTCTGAGACATTAAAGGACCCTGACCTGTAGGAGGACCCTGACCTGTTGAAGGACTCTGAGCAGTTAAAGGACCCTGACCTGTAGGAGAACTCTGACCTGTTGAAGGACTCTGAGACGTTAAAGGACCCTGACCTGTAGGAGGACCCTGACCTGTTGAAGGACTCTGAGACGTTAAAGGACCCTGACCTGTAGGAGGACCCTGACCTGTTGAAGGACTCTGAGACGTTAAAGGACCCTGACCTGTAGGAGGACCCTGACCTGTTGAAGGACTCTGAGCAGTTAAAGGACCCTGACCTGTAGGAGGACCCTGACCTGTTGAAGGACTCTGAGACGTTAAAGGACCCTGACCTGTAGGAGGACCCTGACCTGTTGAAGAACTCTGAGCAGTTAAAGGACTCTGACCTGTAGGAGGACTCTTACTTTTTTGGTGATGCAAACTAAAGGACTCTGATCTGTGTAAGACTGACCTGTTGAAGGACGTGTCCCCCACGGGGCCCAGTATGTCCTGGATGTCCTGTGTGCAGGGGAATTCTTTACTGCTGTCGACCTCTCTGGATTCAACAAGCTGGAAGGTGCTGCGGCTCCTCTGGAGGGCTGAACTGGGATCTGCTGGGGTCCTACATGGTAGGATGGGAACTTGTCATAAATGATTACTAATATTTATTGTGATAAATTATAGTAACTATATCTATATAGTTGTATCAATTACCTGTATTTCGGGTGTTCACAGCTGCCTCCTCTGTAGCTCAGAGTCCGGTGGGCTTTAGTCCTACTGTTGCTTCTCTCCAGCATATTTCTGAGGTCATCTGGTCCACATGGGGAGTTACGACCCTTCTCAGTCATCTAATTCAAAATCATAAAAAATCAATCAGTGAAACAGTGTCACAGCCAACAAGGGTCAAGAACTTCCAATTTGAGAGGAGTTACGCTGAATTGGTGACCAAATCACAGCTTGGTTTGAGTTACCCTCAGATGTGAGGCTTTGTCCTGTGCGGTGGTGGTGCTGTGACTGCGCTGCTTCCCGGTGCGTTCCCGACGCTCAAAGCGACTGACCTTCTCCAGGACAGAGAGGCTGCGTACAGGTCCCTGGCTGCCATCGCCAACGCTGCTGTTGCCATGGCTACCTGCAGAGATGACACTGTTGGGGCTAGAGCCTCGCTGGACCTCAGCAAGGGCGATCTCCAGACGGCTCAGTGGGTGTTCTCTGTCTTTGTCCTGCTCTCGGTGGTCCCAGTCACTGAGGTGACTAGGAAAAGGGGGGGGGGCAGGAGAGGGGAGAAGGTGTGTGGGTAGGAAGAACCTGTCCCTGTGCCAGCCTAGGTGATGTCACTGGCTCTGAAAGAGTACTGGTCTGGTCCATTGATCTGTAGGGCAATAGGAAGAAACCATTGAGGAAAAGTACAGGAGGGAAAATCATTTCTGATATTTATTGATTTTGCCTGACAAAACATACAAGCATTGAATGAACAAAACAGCGATTAACCGTCAGGTAGCGGCTGTTATAGATAGAAATGTGTTGAAAATAGGGTATGCTATTGTGTTGTTGTGGCTGTATCTGGTTGTGGTGCCTAGTAGCATGATGTTAGTGCATGAGTTTAATGAAAAAAAAAAAAAAGCCTCTCCAATGGTTAAAAGATTACAATCCTTGAGCATGCTTTTGGTTTTCTGCAAAGATATCTCAATCTGGAAGCCTCCTATGGACCACGTTGAAGTACTCTAACTAGAATTCTGACCTAAAGAAGTCTGGCAGATCAATGAAGGACTCTGGTTTCAGTCACCAAAAGTAATTCCTCAATACTTTACCTTCTCCTGTCTCCCCTCGACTGGACAGGTATGCAGGGGTCCCTCCATTCTTCTGAGGATGGAGCCCTGTGTCCAGCGGCCGATTGGATGTGGGGAATATTGAAATCCTGGTTCTCTTCCTGGAACACTAAGCTGTGGGGTCTCTTGCTTGTTTGAATTTGGGACCCTTGGAAGCTTTGACCATGAGGTCCCTGGCGGGTTGTGTGTTCCTCTGATGGATCTCTAGCTGTTTTCATGTAGGGTCTGTAGAGTTCAGAGTAAGACTCTTCCTGGTGAGGCCTGATAAAGGTAGAAGACTGAGTTAGCATTATAGAATAGAATATTATAGAATCGGAAACACCAACAAATAGCATGAAGTTGTGCATTTAGCAATTATTTTATTTAAGTATGACTCTTGGGAACGAACTACACACTAAGCTACACAACTGCTACAGCTACTGGTAGGAAGTAATGACACTAAAAGCACAGCTTTTTGTCAAAAGTATAGTATTACCTGTCTGCCTGTTGTGCTCGAGGCCTGGGCTGAGTGCAGGAAGAAGAAGGGGGATAGGAGTACAGTAAAGAAGAAGGGTTGTTTTGGTATCCGTTTTCTGTAGCTGATATCCTTCTTTCCTCCCGTCCCTCGGTTGTTCCTTCCTCTCTCCCCTCGATGCCCTGCTGCTGCTGGGTGGGGGCAGGGTAGCCTCCCAAGGAGCTTGGCCCCTGGATTGGACTGGGTATCTTTGCATTGAGGGGCTGATGTTGGGGGACATGGTGTATCCCTGTGGGCACAATGAGCTGGGGGCCGGGGCCTGCATGTCCAGAGGTAGGGCCAGGACAGGAGGGGGGGCTGGGAAAGCCTCCGCCCTGCCGGGGCTTTATGGTGGGGCTGCTCTCTGGACTCTTCTCTATCACGGTGTGGAGCTGGCCCTCGGCCCCGTAAGAGCATTTAGCTGCAACCAGAGGAACCGAGTCAGTGTTGTTGGGGGTCATTCAGGGGAAGAAGATTTGGGGCTGTATTTGGGGCTTTTTAGCAACCTTTAGCAGATTAAAAAAGTGTACAATCATGGAGATAGAATTGATATATACCTGCACTTGATGCTACAGGGCCACTGGAGTGATGCCAGGAACCTTTCTGCAGAGACCTGAACAAAATATATAAAACACAATTCATTATAGTGGAAGTTCATTTTACACAAGTATTTTACAACAACAATTTATACTAACTGTTTTATATTATATTGTACCTTACAGGGCAATTCTATAATGTATTGTGTTATAGTGGATCGTAGAGAATGGTAACATAGCCTAGCATATTGCATTGTGTTGTATTGATTTGATCCAAATGGATCCTGGACATCTCCGCCGCATTCGACACAGTCTCCCACACTATCCTACTCAACCGCCTATCCGTCTACCGTGGCCTCTCTGGTACAGCCCTCTCCTGGTTCCATTCCTACCTCTCCAACAGGCAACAGTTTGTGACCATCGGAAAATCCAGCTCTCCCCCAGCCCCTGTCAATCAAGGTGTGCCGCAAGGTTTGGTGCTCGGCCCCCTTCTATTCAACATCTACATGCTCCCCCTCGGTGAAATCATCCGCCGACATGGTCTCAACTTCCACTCCTATGCCGACGACACCCAACTCTACATCAGTACCAATCCATCATCCCAGCTACCCCCACTGTCACTTGTCAACTGCCTCCGTGACATCCAAGCCTGGATGTCAAAAAATCTACTTAAACTCAACAATAACAAAACAGAGCTCATGGTTGTGGCCCCAAAAACACTGCTCCGGAAGGTTGGATATCTGCTCCTCACCATCGATGGCAGCTCCATCCACCCTTCCCCTGAGGTTCGCAGCCTGGGCGTCACTCTGGACTCTAGCCTCACCTTCAACTCCCACATCAGGTCTACTGTCAAAACTGCTTTCTTTCACCTACGAAACATCTCCAGACTCCGGCCCTCTCTCCCCGACCCCGTTGCAGAAACATTAATTCATACCTTCATCTCCTCTCGTCTGGACTACTGCAATGGAGTTCTGATCGGGGTCACCAGCAAAGCCCTGGACAGGCTCCAGTACGTCCAGAACTCTGCAGCCAGGCTCCTCACCCACACTAAGCCCTGGCAACACATCACCCCTACCCTCATCCACCTTCACTGGCTCCCGGTCAAGTCACGCATCCAGTACAAACTCCTCCTGCTAACTTACAAATCTCTCCACTCCCTAGCCCCTCCATACATCTCTGACCTCCTTCAGCCCTACACCCCCTCTCGTCACCTGCGGTCCTTTGACAAAGGGCTGCTCTCCATCCAGCGCTCCAAGCTGAAAACATTTGGCAACAGAGCCTTCAGTGTCGCAGCCCCCACCCTCTGGAATTCTCTCCCCTCTGCAATCAGGAATGCAGACACTCTGGACACCTTAAAAAAACACCTCAAACACCATCTGTTCACTCAGGCCTTTGGCCTCAACTAATATACAGTACTCAGCAACCTGTTCCTGTTTTGTTTTCTTCAGCCTATGTATCTGTATGATTATTATTACTTTTTGTTTTGTTACTTCCCATTGTAAAGCGTCCTTGGGTTTCGTGAAAGGCGCTATATCAATTGAAATTATTATTATTATTATTAAATGCATTTAATCATAGCATTTTATTGCAGATTCTATCTATTGTATAGTTTTATAGGATAGAGAGCATATTATTGCGAGATGTTTCTTATCGTATCATGATATCCTAATTGTATCATAGTGTAATGTGTTAATATCATTGTATCATATATTGCATTTTTACTGTACTGTAGCATAATAGGCTATGTAATGTATCTGAGAATATTTCATAATGTATTAAATTGTACAAGTAATTTCCATGTCATTTACAGAGGTTGTTGTTTGTTTAAAGGTGGGGTGGGTAAGTTTGAGAAACCGGCTCGAGATACACTTGTTGTTATATTCCATGGAATGCTCTTAACATCCCGATAGCAATGAATATCTGAAGTGCTTTGACAAAAAATCCATTAACAAAATGTCATCTGTGGAAGCCGTAATACTGTAAAAAGCACGACCAATCATCTGAGCCGGCCCGGCTAAAGTAACTGGATGGCCTACCTGCCTGTCAGCCTTCCATCTGTGTACAAACTTATCTCGTGCCCTCATTGGTCATGTGCGCGTTCGTGTGTGTTGGAGGAGGGGCTCTGTAAGGAAGTGGCAGATTTCTTCCGGCTGTGTATTTTCAAATTCTAGCGCCCTCGAGCTGGTCTCTCCAAAATTACCTACCCCACCTTTAACTAGTACTTTACAAACACCTGTATTTTTTACTGTACTACTTAACTTATATCACCTGGTCAATAAAAAAAGATACATAAAAACCGTCATATTCTTAGCCCATCAGCTATGATGCACATCATTTATAAATACAAGAATAAAATAATGAGTTGATTTTACTGTAAATGAATTAATACCTATTTAACTTAAAGGGGATCTATCATGCAAAATGCACTTTGGTACGTCTTTTATACATGAATATGTGTCCCCGGTGTGTCAGGGAACTCACCAAGTGTCAGAAAACACAACCCTCTCTCTTTTCCTCCATACCCAAATCTCTAAAAACGGGGCTGCAACGGATTTGATACAGACTGATACAGATTTGAAATTGTTCTGACGTCAGAAACGGGGTGCTCTGCCTATATGGGCAACTCTCCACCTATCAGGTTGCGTGGCATGGTAACAGCATGGTAACATGAAGCTCGTGCCTCGCCCCCCTGCAAAGGTCAGCTGCAGCTCATTTGCCACAGAATCAGCCCTTGCAAAAACAGGGCTGGAAAAGAGCAAATAGAGCGAAATGAGGCATGGCTAAAATGCAGGATCTGTTTGGTATTTTGAAAAAAAAATTCACAGACATGTTTTATATAGGTATGGCCCTACAATATATGTTTCAAATATAGCATTTAAGACTTTAAGAGACAGTGTAGCCCAGTTTCATATCTGCATGTCTGGAAGATTAAATGGATCTAAAACTCATTTTGGAACGCGAATGACTGAAGTTGGGGCGGACATTGTGCTCTTGAATTACATGCTCATCACCATTGTTTTGATTAGTGTTGTTGGATGAGAATGGATATCCCTCTGATGTGACTGACCGTAGTGAGCGGGCGTGATCCAGACTGGACCAGGAGTTGGGTCTCTCGTGGTTCCTGATGGCTGCGTAGCTATCACTGCGCATCGGTGGAGCTGGCGCCCCCTTCAAGTTCTCGTATGAGCTGCGGCTGGCTGAGGGGCCCCATATTGGCCCCACACTGTGTCTTTGTGATGCCGGTACACCCCCACTGCTGCTGCCACTGCTGCTGCTGCCACTGCTGCTGCCACGGTAACAGACCCCACCTAATGCACCAAGAACACAAATAGAAGAAATGATGTCATCAGATAACAATTAGAACATCCCAAAACTATTCCTGAAACAGGAAGTTCACCTTGTAGCTCTCTGCTGTGCCCCGGCCTCGCTTCTCCCTCGCCTCTGGAATCTCTGTTGCTTAGCAATGCGGCGGAGGTGGAGCTCAGCTGGTGTTCGTGGCCCCTCTGGACGTCATACACCGTCTGGGCGTAGCACACGTCCGCCTGCTGCATCTCTCCACCTCTTCTCTCTCTCTGAAGGACCGTCTCGAGAGAATACGAGCGCTCCGGGCTGAAGGAAGGCGTGGAGGCCAGGTACTCTGGGATGCTGGAGCTGGTGGAGAAGGAGGAGTAGGCCGAGTCTCGCTTGCTGTGCAGGTGGTCGATGCTGTTGGAGGACCTGGAACATGACGAGAGATTCCATTTAAAGTCATGATATTGAGATATCTACAGCTCTGAAGCAAACGTCAAATGGCTGGTGAAGCTGGACTTTGTATTTTCAGAAGGCAACCGGTTAATTATACAAAAGCTTAATGCATCATACTAAATAAAGCTTCCATGGTCCTTTCATTCTTTCCTGTAGTGTCTAAACGGTGAATTGGGGAAAATGGGTTGAATAATAATGAATAAATATTTGAATAATTGTGATGTCATATGTTTCTGTATGGTTGTTGCTTTATGTTTTAAGGCTTAATGTGGGCGGTTCTCAAAGTTGCCATCTTGGCGTGGGGGTTGTCAGTGGAGCAGCGATGACCCCCAATCATAAAACCTTTAAATAAGTACGACTGGTGATAGCTTCAACACCAACTTTAGTTACAAGAACAATGTCCCCTTAAACAATAACGTTCCTATATAGAAAATAACATTGTCAATTAAAGGGAAAGTGTTTCCTCCCAGATTACGTTGGGTTTCACCGTCCTGCATATACATTTTAGTCACAGTTTGCAGAAGTCGATGTTATAAAGAAGACAGGATGGATTGATAAAACAACAATGGATTTTCACCCATGATACCAGTATTTAAGTGTGAAAAAGCAGTCAACGTTCACTTATTCTAATTTACGCCTGTAACTAAAATAATGTAACAAAGAATATTTTAAGCCAAACCAGGACCTATGTACCTATGTTACCTATGAACCTAAGCAAGTAGTTGTGTCTCCTCAACATTAGATAATAGACGTGCTTTTCTGTCGTTTTCTATAGTCTTAGTGCTTAGCTAAGTCAGACAGAAGCTGTCCTCTGTACTTCCAGACGTTCAGACGGTAACAGCTGGGGGGGCACCTGGCAGAGGAAAGCTGGTGGCAGGAGGAGTAGGCGGGGTGGGGTCCGCTGTTTGTGTGGTGGTTCTGTGCTCCGGGGTTAAGGTGAGTGGACTGGGGGGGGTCCAGGCTGTCCATGCTGCCCCTCGAGCTGTACTGGTCCGGACTCTTCCTCAGGGAGCTGCCGCCAGAGTCGTAGCCCCCGGACAGGTCTGTGGTGGAGGCACTGACACAGAGACACAACATTTACTCTTTCAGAAGGAGACTCAGAAAAGCTCTGGCGATGGGAATGTTGCTAAATTACCACACAGACTTAAAGGTTTCCTATTATACTATTTTTAGGCATATATTATAGGTCTCAGATATATACAAATGTATAAAAAACATGTCTATGAAGTGTTTTGCTCAAAATATCAATCAATCAATGTTTATTTATATAGCCCAATATCACAAATGTTACATTTGTCTCAGTGGTCTTCACAGTTTGTACAGAATATCAGTATCACAATACGACACCCTCTGTCCTTAGACCCTCACATCGTACAAGGAAACACTTCCAGAGAAAAACCACAGTTTAAAGGGAACATGGGAGAAACCTCAGGGAGAGCAACAGAGGAGGGATCCCTCTCCCAGGACGGACAGACGTGCAATAGATGCCGTGTGTAAAAATACCAAACAGATCACTCATTATAGCCATGCCTCATAGTCCTCTATTTCAGCCCTGATAGAGAACTGCAGGTTTGGGGTCCTTAGCTTTAAAAAGAAAAGAAAAAAAAGAGGGGTAGTGGGAGCTTGTGCCTGCTCAGAATTGGTCAGAAACTCAGCTACATGATGAAATGCCATACCATGTTCAAAACCACATCAAGAATGATCTCTGAAACAGTATGGAGCTCAAACGCTTTTTCTCTCTCAGGTTTACCACAAGGTGAGTTCCTTTTTAGATCCTGCACATACTCTCTCCAGCACAGGTTAGCTCTGAGTGTTAGCCATGCCTGCTAATGAATAATCACATATGTTCCCCATAAATATTCATCTGTGGGAGTATTTGCAAATGATCTGAGTGATCACTGTGTTGTAGCCACAATTAGGGACACTAAGGTCCAAAAGGTTAAACCTCGCATTATCATTAAGAGAGACATAAAACATTTTGTTGAGCAGGGTTTTGTGCATGATCTGTTTGGGTTTGATTGGGGAAAAATCGATCTGTGTGCTGATGTGGAAACCGCATGGTCTTATTTTTATCTTGGTTTTATGGAGATCATTGATAGACATGCACCCCTGCGTACACTTAGAGTGAAGGGACGAGACAATCCTTGGTTTTCTGCTGAGCTGTCTAGTCTCCTTCATGAGAGAAACAAGGCCTGGGCAAAGGCTAGGCAATCAGGCTCAGAGGTAGAATGGCTGCGTTTTAGGCAGCTAAGGAATAGCTTCACTTCAAATGTCAAAAGTGCAAAGTCGAAGTACTATTTGTCAGTTACCACAGAAAACCTAAATAATCCTAGGAAATTTTGGAAAGCCATTAAATCGATATCCACCGGTGAGATCCGTAATGAGCTACCTCCGTGCCTTACCACAGCATCTGGCTCTATATCGGACAGGGCCACTATGTTAAATTGCTTTAATGAGCATTTTGTGTCCTGTGGTTCTCTATTTGATTCTGTTTCTAACTCTGCTTCTGTGAACACCCCAATCCGTGACTCTGAACAATGTGGTCTGGAAAACCCTTTCAGTTTTACTCCTTTAACTGTCAATGTTGTTCATGAAGCCTTATCTAAGCTAGATCCTAAGAAACCGGCTGGCCCGGACAACGTAGAACCTTTCTTTTTAAAGATAGCTGCAGATTTTATTGCTCCTCCTCTCACTACTCTTTTTAACCTCTCCCTCAGCACAAATGTAATTCCAAAAGTATGGAAGTCAGCTTATGTCTTGCCTTTGCTAAAAGGAGGGGAGGCAACTATTTTAAATAACTATAGGTCAATCTCTAAGTTGTCAGTTCTGTCTAAGGTTCTTGAACGCTTAGTGAGTGAACAAGTAAAGGAGTTTTTATGTAAAAATGATATTCTGTCTAAACATCAGTCAGGCTTCAGAAAGCAACACAGCACCATCACTGCCACAATGAAAGTGGTAAATGACATTATGAGTATTTTAGACAATAAGCAGAGTTGTGCAGCTCCATTTATTGACCTTTCCAAAGCGTTTGATACCGTCGATCATCGCATCTTAAAGCAGAGGCTACTCAGTATTGGCATATCCAGCCATGCAGTGGGTTGGTTTGTGAACTACCTCTCTGAAAGGTCCCAATGTGTTCACTTTGATGGGCTGTCTTCTGAGTGGTTAAACATTGCTAATGGTGTTCCTCAAGGCTCTGTTTTAGGTCCACTTTTATTCTCCATATATATCAACAATTTAGGTGATAATGTGAATGAAGCTACTTTACATTTTTATGCTGATGATACCGTGATGTATTGTGCAGGTCCCTCCATTAAGGAGGCTGGTGTTAAATTACAGGCTGTTTTTAACACTATTCAGACTCAGCTCTCTGAATTAAAGCTTCTTTTAAATGTGGATAAAACCAAGGTAATGCTCTTTTCTAAAGCTAAAAAGACACCAGAGACTGTTTTGGATATTGTTACTATGCAAGGACAAGTACTTGAAGTTGTTGCCTGTTACAAATACCTAGGTATCTGGCTTGATGATTGTCTGACTTTTAAACTTCATGTCAATAACCTGCTTAAAAAGCTGAGGGTTAGACTAGGTTTCTTTTTCAGAAACAAGTCCTGTTTCTCGCTTGAGGCCAAGAAAAGGCTCTGTGACCTTTTGACCTGTGCTGGACTATGGTGATTTGATATATATGAATGCACCTGCCCATTGCCTGGATAAGTTAGATGCCGCCTATCACAGTGCCCTGAGATTTGTTACTAACTGTAAAGCACTTACTCATCACTGTACCCTGTATGCCAAGGCAGGTCTGCCTTCACTAACTGTACGGAGGCTCAGTCATTCGTACATGTTCATTTACAAAGCCATGTTGGGTAAACTACCTTTTTATATCTGCTCTCTGATCTCTCGACGAATTGAAAGTACATATTGCCTGAGATCTCATGATGTTGTTTTATTAAATGTGCCAAGTGCTAGGACTGTCTTAGGGAAGAAAGCTTTTAGTTGTGCAGCTCCACTAAATTGGAACAGTCTGCAAACATGTTTAAAACTGATCACTTTGGTTCCCCTGCATCATTTTAAAACTCAGCTGGGTGACATGCTGTTTGATACTCATGATACCTGTCTCTGTGAATAGAGTTTGTAAACTGTACCCTGTACATTATGTTGTTTGTCATCCTTATTGTTGTTCTGTTGTTTTTATGTTACATGTGTAACTAATGTCCTGCAGGTCACCCTTGAAAAAGAGATCTTATGATCTCAAGGGGCTTTCACCTGGTTAAATAAAGGCTACAAACAAACAAACAAATGTAAACAAAGACCATATTACTTCCAAAACACGTCGCGCATTGTTTCTGATACAGCAACGTTTCTGATAGGGCCGTGAGCGTAAAGCCAGCCCACATTTTAGTAATGTCGTCAAGACCGCAGCAAATCTGGATCAGCTCCGTTGTAGCCCAGTTCTTTAAGATTTGGGTACGGAGGAAAAGAGAGTGTTGTATTTTCTGACACAAAGGGGACACATATTTATGTATAAAAGACATAACAAAAAAAGTGCATTTTGCATGATAGGAGACCTTTAAACTTAAACACAACTGTGCTTTGTGCTTTGAGCTCACTAAGGCCGATGGTAACATGCTGATATTTAGCAGGTAAAAACTCCTATATTCACATAGCTCAGTTTGGCATGTTAATTACATTTTACATTCACATTAACATTTATCATCAGCGCTAAGCACAACGTACAGGTTAGGCTGATGGGCATGTCAACAGTACTTGACTTTTGCATATTATGGTATATATTTGTTGATAATCATCTCAATGTTAATGATAATCTGTACTGCTTTGGTAATAAAGGTTTCTGAACTGTCATCCAATAAAGCTTATTTAAAATGTAGAGTGAATTGAAATACTATTTGCTCAGAAAATACTATTAAACAGTTTTGCTTATGTTTAATTTCCTAATCTATGCAATGAAAGAAATCAAGAGGGGGTCCTGCTGCAGTGGTTAGTTTAATGTGTAAATATTCATACAGACAGGTAACAGGTTGGAACAGGGTCAGATTGGCGTCGTAAGAATTCCAATTAAATAAAAGAAAAAATAAATTAGGAATATTTGATACTAACAAGATAAACGATGTAACCACTTGCATGTTTCAAAAGGACGAAAAGTCTGTGATTTGCTGCTGAATCTGCCGGAATTTTAATGTGTGGTTTGTGCCTGTGTGCATGTGTGTACGTCACAGTTTGACCCACCAAGTCCTTCAACCGAACACAATGCAATTACTGGAAAGGGGACAGTCTCCGTCTTCACCAGTTTCTCTATGTCTCCACTCTGTGTCTCCACTCTGTACTCCCTGTCTCTCTTTCTACTTTCTGTTTCCTAACTTCTGTTAAAGCAGAGCTGCAGAAAGGTCACCACAAACCTTTTATTAAAATCCCCACTTTACTAACATGACACGGCATTCAACAGTGTGTGTGTGGGGAGATGTTGTCATGGGAGACCGGGAGGTGGGGGGAAGGGCATGCCCCTTACTGCAGGCATCCATGTCAATGCCCTATCCAACAAACACGCACGCACGCACGCACGCACGACCGCACGCACGCACGCACGCACGCACGCACGCACGCACGCACGCACGCACGCACGCACGCACGCACGCACGCACGCACGCACGCACGCACGCACGCACGCACGCACGCACGCACGCACGCACGCACACACACACACACACACACACACACACACACACACACACACACACACACACACACACACACACACACACACACACACACACACACACACACACACACATCATAGGCTTTTATTTTCTCTTCACTGCTGTTTAAAATAAGTAGTGATGTAATTCCTTCTGAAGCTGCTCTGCTTCACACACAACACTAAATAATGATATTTTTTAACTAACAGTAAGATGGCGTCGAAGAACATTTTAAAAACATTGTTAAACCTTCCAAAAATGTCCTCTCTCCCCAGGAAGTTCCTTACTTTCTGAAACAGTCCTCTCTTTCCCAAAGATATCCTCACTTTCCAAAAAAAGGCCTATTTCCAAAAAGACCCTCTCATTCTGAAAATGTTCTTTTGTGAAAAGAAGTTCAATCACATATTGTAAGGTGTAATGTAAAATCTTGGGGTCAGTGTTGGTACAAACAGATAGTTTCACTTCAGAATGAAAACACAGCGTGTGCACAGACAGTCAGATGTCAAAGGTCACATCATATCACAGACAGACAGCAGCTGAGAGCTCCTCACATTGATCCGTCTGTTGACCTATATCGCCTCAAAACATTTCAAATGGAAACACTGTGCATGTTCAGTAAAATACTAAATCATCTGTGTGTAAGAGTAACCGTGATTGGCTGAGACACTGGCAAAGTCTTTAAATTCACACTGTGTTTGTGAGATCACAGTTAAACCTAATTCCAGAACACCAGAAGGCTTCTAATGACTTGCTTGTCAACGTTTTCTTGTGCAGTCAAGAACTTTTTTTCCTGCGAGCGACAGTAAAAACACATGGAGCACCATGGAAACACCTGCAGAGATCATTCATAGGACTTTGAGCTAGCAGCATTGATATAAGGTGTAATGTGATGTGAATGTGAAAACAAGAAGACATGTCTTATCTTTCAAGACCATAAGCTCAAACTGTTCTTGGGGAAAAATATCTGGGTTGCATGGTTTTCATATTCACATCAGTGTAATTTAACGTACATTGTAGGTATAGCATATATTGTTCTTAAAATGGATCTTTGTTATTGAATTTAAGCAGTTTTTTGTATATTGATCTTGTGTTTTATATACAATTGTGATTTTTTAATATTATTTAGGTGGAAGTTTTAAATAATCCCAATGGGTTTTTTGCCTCATCCTGCACTATTTATCATGTATTATCTGTTATGTATGTGTATTTTTAAATGGTGCAAAACCATTAAATACAAAATTAAAAAAATACAAAAGGCTGCTGTCTCTATTTTGGCACTGATTTTGACAGATTTACCTCTGGTAGCAACATAGCTACACAGCTAGCAAAGAGCTCTACCAAGGGCCCTAACGATGGATATGCATTGTCGAAGTGGTCTGTTTTAGACATGTAGACAGACCTGGCGTGGTAGTTGTGGTGCCAGGCGCTGCTCATGGTGTCCATCCCGCCCCGGTCCACCTGCTGCGGACCCTCCCCCAGCTTTGTGGAGTGCCAGGAGTGAGGCCGAGACGCTGGCTCACTGCGTCTGTGAGAGGAAACACAGAGAGAGGGTTTGTGTACACGCACTCCTTTACTTCCTAAAACTCAAGGAAAGTGTATGGCTTGCGGGGACGAAAACCATCACACAGTCAGCCATGACATAAACAGCTCTGTGTCATTTTCTGTTCCACCATCGGCACATGACACGAGAGAAAAGCCTTCATGTAAGGGTGAACACATCACTAAATGAAAGAAAACAACATAAGAGGAGAAATGCAAAAGAGCCATTTTCTAAAGGAATAGTGTCTTTTTGGGAAGATTGATTAACAAATCATCAAACCCCCATATCTGTACATCTGTAGCTGAGCCAGCTTCCAGCGTTGATCAGTATGTTTCAACAAAATAAGAAAACACTGGATTTAACGGAAAAAAGCCATCAGGCCAAGAAAAAAGAAGCACATGTGCTCAGGGATCCGTTTGTCTCTGGAAACTAGTTGATGAGCACAGTCATGGTTTCTATTTTTGATCTAGTTTGTGTCCTGTCCTTGTTGCACAGATCCTCATTCAAAGAAAGTCTTTTTTTTAAAGCTCCGCCCAGAAAAAAGACAATTTCAACATTAAAAATGTTGTCCTCACGCATGCACGCACACACGCACACTGTTTTCTGTCCAGACTCAATATGTCCTGAATGTTGTCTTGATAAATGATGTATAATGCCAGTTCACAGAGAAACAGTCCTATCATCCATGTCATATTCTCCATTCTGTTCTTTTCAGTTCCTCTTTTTCTTCAGTAAATGTTTTGCCATTGTTAAGCTACTGTCACTGAAACTCAACACTGCTAATAGTTCACATTGACAGCTCTCATGTGGCTCAAAGGGCAAAATGACTGCTTCTCTGATTGACGTTTAATGTAAATTGGGTGTTTGAGAAGAGTTGAATTTACCTTCATGATAATCCAAAGAGAAATACAATATTTGACCTCTGTAACAGTAATGTAATGTAAAAATGTGAAGTGAAAAGTACTGTATGTGAATGCCGCACATTGTGAAAAATATAAAGCAGCGGCCTCGCTGGCGCTGATATTCATTAAATTGGTACATTTTTGTGTTTAGTTCAAATACGAATATTTATGACCTCACCATCATTATTTGAATGTGTTGTGATAAGAGAGACGTTGTGGTTACAATACTCTTCCCTCGTCTGATGTGAAATGTTCTGTATTTATCCACACAGATAAACAGGAAGAGATTGTATCTGAGTAAGTAGGAGACAGAGACATGAAAGCCTGCATGGCTGCGGACAGCAGGAACCTGGGTACAGCCGGACGTGACTGGAATACCTCGACAAGTTATCATGGCTGTGACACGTGTGCAGATATTCACCCTCTCTGGGGACTGGCCTGAAGACAGTGTGGTAACATTTGAGTTTTACCACAGAGTTTTAAATCAAAATATCATTTTTGAAACCTGGACGTCCTGACGCTGCATTCAGAAGCAACCAGGGTCCAACACATAGATATCCTTTCGGAGTCCGTATGTCATGTCTGAGTAATGAATGTCACATCCTGTCATAAATGTTTTGGCATATCAAAGTTAAAAATGTAGTTTGTTGTCCTAAATACATATCTCTTTCCAGTTATAATAAACCCCCAGTTTACTTTACTTGTCTTCCATTAACTGACCCCCCACCCAAACTGTGTGGAGCCACACTCTGCTTTAGATCCTTTCTGTTTTAAAGATTGTAAAAAAGCAGAAGAGGGTCAGGTAGTTGTTTTAGTTTGTGCTACAATATAAGTCCAGAATATTCAGTGTGCAAATGAGTCAAAATTAAAAGGTTAGGACTAAAGTCAGACTCCATTTCGCCAGCAACCATTATAATTAGTTTGATCCAAGCCAACAGTTATGGATTGAGTTACAAAGAGATCCTCAAACAGTTTTCTTTCTTGCACAAATACTAAAGCATAATGTACCAGTCTATTGTTAAGTTACTTACTTCTGAGTATTTATTATGTAAAATCTCTTTCTGCAAAACTTTTCTTGAACAGATCAAAGCTAATCCAGGCTTCCAACTTGTCTAAATGTCTTCTGTGTTTCTGACTAAACTCAGCATGTGCCCTGTGTTACCTGGAGGTGAACCGCAGGACTCTGGAGATGAGGCCGCTGGCCAGGACGCTGACGTTGGCCTCTGACGGGGATCGGCAGAGCGCCCCGTCAGACCGGCCCAGCTCCGCTTTCTTCTGCTTTTTCCGGAGCTTCCTGCGGTAGAACGCCTCCAGCAGTTCCATGGCTACAATTCAAATTACTCTTCTCTCCTGCTTTCTTCTTAGGTGTACTCTTCCTGTCAAATTGTTTCGTCTTCTTTTAGAAAATCCCAGAAAGTCCCATTTCCACACCCTTGAAATGGTACTGTTTGTTTGGTGTTTCCTTCTAGAAAGCTACAAGAAAATATATGTTGTCTGTGTCAACTGCACCAACCCAACAGCTCACATGATCTCCTGAGTAGAAGAGTACTTCCAAAAACGTCTCGTTCTCTCATGAAATTAGAATACTTGGATGCATAGTCCACTACACAACTTGGACCTTTATTTTCTTTGTTTGCGATATCTTTTCTTACCTTTGTGCTGTACTTTCCCTCTTTTAAACTTTAACCTAAGATACCCTACCTGCTTCTTCTCTGCTTTAACTCAATCAACTGTAGATGTAATACACACAAACACCTCTCTCTTTGTTAAACGTGTCCCACATGCTGCAATCCACAGTCAGCCAATCCTTTGAAAAATGTGCAACCCAGAGAAGAAAAATTGCTTCAGCTATTCCTCATTTCCATCAGAACTCCATTGCAGAGACTCTGCACTGCTGATCCGTCTCCACTGTCCTCTGATCTGTCTCTTTGCTGTTGCTCCAGTCTAGGGCTGCCTGGTCAAGTCGCATTGCATTGGTCCCTGAGCTCGTTAAGCAAACGGAGCAATTAGAAGTCATTAGGCTGTATGATAAAAGCATAAAGTAAACATCCTTGGACTGGCTTGTTCTGGATGGTAGCTGTTGATACAGTGTGTGAGCGAGGGACATTCAGAGTCTGAAGAGAGAGAGAGGGAGGACGGGTACAAGATAGTGAGAAAGAAGGAGTAGTAAGAAAGGGAGGGGAGATGGAGGGAGATAAGAGTTGTTAGGGAGAAGGTACTGTGGAATGAAGTAACTGAAAGATTTTCAGAGACATGTGGAAATAGGGAGAGATGTAAAGGAATGGGAAGAGAGGAAAGACAGGAGGACGAGAGAAATGGAAATCCACAATATCTTATTTCCTGTCGAACAGTCTACAAATACAAATCAAACAGAGAATAGCTTGAGGAAGTGCAAGTGCAAAGAGAGATAGAGTTTGTGAACACAGAGGACAGCTGAGCAGAGCCGCGGGGGGGAACATGTCCCATGATGCAGCGTGTGCTCCACACTGAACAATGAACTGACTCTTATTGATTGTTAGATTGTCACTGCAAGACTGGAGCCCAAAGCACAAGAACAAACATGATGTCAGAAGATAGGAATCACTGACCAGTAGTGGGGAAATGCAGCATGACTTTGTTAATGGTTCCTTACTTTGAAAAGTCATTATTTGGAAGGATATTTTCCTTCAATCCAACTTGACAACTATCAGATGGATGGCCAGGACATTTGCTACAGACACACTAGAAAGTAAATGCTAGTGACTTTGATGATCCTCAAGCTTTCCTCTGGCAGCATCAGGTCAACGTTTCAATACGTCCAATATAACGAAAGACATTCCCATCATCCTTAGTTGACTTGTATGTGCTAACTAGCTAATGCTAGCATGTAGCTCAGAGCATCGCCTAGTGCTGCTTGCCTCGTTATGCCTTCATTTTCTTTCAATATTAAAAACGAGCTGAAACCAGTAACCTTTAAAAACTAAAATGACTAAATGTTTTCGGTCCTCGTGGTGAAACAGTCCCTACTCAAAGACCTCTGGTAACTTCTCAAGGATCTCTGGAAATCGCTCTGGACTCTTTTTATTTTCCTCTCTTCTACAACCCACTGAAGGACTCGATGCTTCCTCAAGAACATCTTTCATTCACAAACGGTAAAGGAGTCTGTGAGGACAACTATGATTTATTCTAGGACTACTGTACCTTCCTGGGGAGATCTCAAGGTCCCTGGAATCAATGGAAAAACCCTAAGCTTTCTCGAAGACCAGTGCATTTTCTCGTAATGTCTTTGGACCTCTTTTACAACATCTGGTAGCCTTTTAACCCTCTGGAGTCGGTGGACGCGCCGGCGTCTCTCAGCATCTCTCCTGGGACCACTAAAGCCTCCTCAAAGACAGGTGCACCACCAGGACCACCTTTGAGTAGGACTAGAGATGAGACTTCATATATCAGTCAATACTCATTGTTGTGTCTCAGCAGATTTGTTAATATTATTTCTCTGTTTAGTTTATATTGTCAAGTCCGCGTCTGCTAACCCTTTTTGTTGTCTGCCATTTCCTGTTTTACTTTGTCATTTCCTTTCTCATTTCAGGTAGTTCGACTCCTACCTTGTCACTATGCTCACTGACCTGATTACCTGCCCCGCCCTTATTGTTTGCACCTGTAGAGTTCTTTGTATGTGTATATATTCTGTGTGTTCCCTGTGCCCAGTGCCAGATCGTTTTCAACTCTTGTGTGGCCTGTCAGCCAGTTGTGTTCTGTGCTACAGGAGATTTAGGTTAGCTTTTTTGAGAAGTCATTTGTGAGTTTTTGTATTTCCTTATATCACCACAAGTAAAATCTTTTTTTTTAATCATCTTTTGTCTGGAGTCGTGCATTGCATGCTTTCCCCAGCGATCTAGCCAAGGTGGCATTCATTGTTTCCCACCTCACGGGAAGAGCGGAAGCCTGGGCTACGGCGGAGTGGGCACGGAAGTCTCCGGTGTGTAAATCACTACAACTATTCACGGAGAGTATAAAAAAAATCTTTGACCGAACCACACCAGGGAGAGAAGCTGCCAGAGCCCTGACACAGATCTCCCAGCAGAATCAGAGTGTGGCTGACTA